GAAAAACCCAACTTTTGCTTCTAGTCTAAGTTTTGCAAATTTAACAAAGGACTATTTTAATATGTTTAATTTGTTGCTTTAGACATAGAAAACTTTTTGACTAATTTTTAAAATTGCATCCAACTTAATTCCATGTAATAATTTTTAAAAACTAATATTTGCTGTTGTGGAGTACAAAGGTGCCTTATGGAAAAATTGGAGGAACCACACGTTCTGGAGAAACTGAAGCAAATTGGTTTAGGGAGGTACTTTTAGCCTCAGAGGAAGTTTTGCCTTGTAGTCCAGAAGGCTTAAGGGGTTCTCCAGGGAAATTTTTCCTGTTTTTATATATATAGAACTATAAATGTGAATTTAACTCTTAGCAACTTTATAAAGAAAGTAATCTTAAGCCTTTCTTCTTTTATACATTTGTAATTTATGAAAATATTTTAATAGAGAAAATATATTTATTTTATGTAAATTCTAGCACTGTACTAGCTACAGGAGCTGGTGGCTCAGACTGGGAGAAGAATATCTAGTTTCTCCTGCCCCAGCTGGAGCATCTGATGCCCAATAAGGCAGAAGCTAAGAATGAGAAGGGCTGCATGAGTATACAAGTGTATGTGGGGCTAGGATCTGGCACCCTAAGAAGAACTTTGAGAGTTTAATGTTTATCTGGGACTAAAGAATAGCTTCAGAACACTCACTGGGTTGGACTGTAGTCTAAGAAGACTTGCTGGAGGTGGAGTTCCTGACCAGGGGAGGTGTCCTCAAAACTCAGGGCAATGGTCCAGCACCAACTCCAAAGTCAAAGCTAGCTCCAGTATCAAGTTTATCATAAACACCAAAAGTAGAGTTAACTCCAGAGCTGAAGGCAACTTCCTATCTAGATCCTGTTGCAGTATTATCAGATTTACCACCATCTTTATGCAGAGATAGTCCTGGTTTCAAATCGGAGTCAGAATCACAACTAAGTTGGAGATACAGTTACTTACAGTGCAAGATCCAGCACCATTGCCAGAGATAGAGACAATTTCAGCAAAGTATTAATGTATTGTTAAAGCAAAGACAGGGTGGAGGAAATTGTGTTAGTCCTTGATTTTTATGAAGGACCTTGAAATGATTCCTGAAGTCTAAATATCTTTTTTTTTCTATTTATTGACAAATCTAGGTCTACAATACAGTCACATTCATTACTGGGATCCTGTACCTTCACATGACGGGTCTTGGTTCTCATTTTTTCCCCTTGTCCCTGCCCTCCCTTCACCCCCTCCTTCCCTCCCCATTAACAAACACTTTATTTCTATTTTTTCATTTTCTCATATTTTTTCTTTTCCCTTATTTCCTTGCCCCTACCCTTCCCCCTTTCCCTACACCTTTAGCCCTTTTCTTCCTATTTCACACTCTTAATTATCCCATTAGGAACTTGTGTAGTATTATAGTTTTTCAAACCAGAGAAACTATTTGGTATCTGAAGTCTAAATATCTAACAGGACTTCCTCATCCAAATAGTAATTCTAACCACACACTGATTTTTTAAAATAAACAGACTCAGAATAATAATATTTATAAATATAAACACATTTTCACTTGATAATGAATAGATGATATTCATTTTTTTACCAGATATTGAAGAAATGGAACTGGAAATGTATGGAGTGCATTTGGGGTATATTTTGTAAAAAGCTGCATGGAAAACTTGTATAGAATGTTTATTTTATTGTATTGTGAGAATTTTGCACCAATGGAATGCTAAAATGACAGCTTTTGGACAAGAGACAGACTCATATCAACTATATTCCCTTCTTGATCCACTGGTGACAGTGATACATAATTTTCCCACATTTTTAGCAAGAGAATGAAGGTATTAGAGTGTTTCTGTTATTTTTGAAATATGATGTAATTTGGAACCAAGACACTTGGATTGTCAAGTCAATAATCACCTGATTTATGACCAACTCTGAATCTCATTTTCCACAAGGTAAACAGGGAAGACAAAAAGCTTTGTAAATCACCAAATCACTCTAATGACTGCTCCATGGTTATCATTATTCCTCCAGAGGTGAATTCTCCAATGGCTTCTTGAACAAGTAGTTCTACCCCTAAGGGAGCCCATCAAACAATGAAATACTTTGTGCTTGTCACTAATTTTGAGTTAGGGAATGAGAGATTGCTCCTCAGGTCCTTTTCATGGTTTGTAAAATTAGAACTCACATTACTTTCTTAGGTCCTGAAAGCTGGTGTACATCATTGTATCTACTGGGTGTGATTCTGAACTGATAGCTCTTCTGCAAGCTGCAAGGAAGTTTTGAGCACATGGAGAATCTACCTGTTCCTCTGTACTCCTTGTCTTCTAGAAAGAAATTGGAAACCTTCCCCTGCTTTGTTTCCAAAGGTATCTGTACTCATTGGTTAAGGGTTCATGTAACAGTAGGAGAAGAATTAACATTTGCTGGTATGATTGACTATGGTTGTTTCTAGCCAGTGTGTGCTGCTAATCCCTAAATACTACTCCATCTCACAGCACAGTATGGAAAAAGCTCCGTGTAGAATAATTTATCTTGAGTTCAGTATGTAACTTTTGGAATGATAAAGAAATGCAATTCTTTTAGGATACTCTATCTGAAACTGATTATACATTAAATATTAAAGAAGACATTGAAAAAACATATCCTCTTTGGCATTTTTCCTTTTATTTAGTTTATTGGTACATTTTATGTATACAGTGCAGTTACATTTATTATGGGGATCTTGTACCTTTACATTACAGGTGATCTTGGTTCCCATTTTTCTCTCTTGTCCCTGCCCTCCCTTCACCCCCCTCATCCCCTCCCCATTTACTAACACTTTATTTCCATTTTTTCATTTTCTCATATTTTTTTCTTTGGCATATTTTTAACTCTGGTAAATACTGTAGAGTTTTCTTGCAAATTTCATATAAAATCTCTGTAATTTTATACCTATCTGCTGCCACAATGAAGCTATAAGCAGGTGCCTTTTTTTATACCTAAAGAATATTGGACTTTTATTCAGATACCTGATGATTCTATTCTATTGGCATAATCTTACTTCTACTCAGAAAACAAGCTATTTAAAAATTTAGGCCATTTATTTATTTAAATCTTTTCTTCAGTGTATTGCTGCTGTAGAATAGAATTTAAAAATTTTACAGCCCCAAAGGCCTTATATACTCTGTCTTCATGAAAATTCTCTCCAAATATTGCCAGGATATCCAAGGTCGTGAGTTGTATCTGTTCTCAAATACCATGCCCTGGTGTACTCAAACACTTCAGTAAGGAGCCCATATTTATATTCTCCCAGTGACAGTTTCTTCATTTAGGAGTCCCTTAAATAAGACATATAAATGAGCTTCCTTGTAACTTTAGCCTCTTGTAATTTGACAATTTATGAAAATGAATTTCCCTCAAATTGAATTTCCAGGAATTTAGTATGTGAAAGATGATGTGAGGAATTTTATTTATTGCAATATTGCTGGAAATGGCAAAATATTTTAAAAATCTGCATGCACAACATCCAGCTAATTACCATTTTCATTGTGATAAACCAATAGATATTAACATGGAAATGAGTAACATGACTGTGTGTGTAACCTTTCTCAAGTAGTATGGCAGTGAGAGGATTTTTATCATAATGGGATGTAAAATTTAGGAATTATATCAAATTGAGATAATTGGCTCAGTGTGTAAACTTCAGTTACCTCCAAAATGAATGATAAGTCAATGAATGGGTCATATACCCAGCGCTCAGGTCAAAGAAGTCTTTATTTACACTATGAATTCAATTTTTTCAGATAGATCATCATGGTCTTTTGAAAATTTTTTTATGATTGCTCAAAAGGATAAATCAATGACAAAGTGGTTTGGAGGAGAAAGAGATTAGAAAAGTATTAAGAATGTTAGGATAATGACTAGAAAAATGTCAGTAAAATTCTTTACCAGACCCTGCTGGGTGTGGTGCACATGACTATAATCCAAGTACTCAGGAGGCTGAGGTAGGGAGGATTGTCACAAGTTCAAAGCCATCCTGGACCACAAAATGAGATCCTATCTAAAAAGAAAACAAAACAAAACAACAACAACCCCCTCAAAAAAACCCAAATAAGCAATACAAAAAAACTTTACCAGAAGCCTAGGATAGAAAACAGAAGAAAGGAGAAAGTATTTTTTGTTGGTTCTACTCAGACATTTACAACAGCCTTTTATACGTCAGATCTGGAATGCAAGTAGAAAAGCCAAATATTCCTGTACTCTCACATTTCAGTAGGAATGACTAGTTTGATTTGAGGCAAGAGTAAGGTGAGAATGGGAAAGAAAAACAGAATTTTACTTCATATTCGATGAACATTCCTTAAAAATGGGTGATGAAACACTGAAAATGTAGAATAGGAAAGCATTTTTTAATAGGAAGAACCAGTGGCCAAACTACAAAATATGTGCATAGATATTTTATGTTATGACACACATTCACGCTTTCAAAGTTCTTCAACCCACTGCATATATTTTCCCAAAATTTTCACTTCCTGATATCTTACAGGCCCAAAACACATTGAATTCTTTTACTTTGATTCAATCATTGGAAATAATGTGTTAGCAAGAGATTACTTCAGAGACATGGGGAAAGTTAAGGAAGGTCAGTATACCTTTAGAGATCATTTATTGGTTTTCTACTAATTGATACTGTCCTATCCTTGTGTTGAAACTCATAATATCAGATTTTTATCACAGTCTCTGGGAATCATCATGTTAAACCAGATCTGAACTGATGATCATTCATAAATTTTGTGTTTCTTCAAAGAATGCTGAGTTGGTTTTCAGGTGGACAAATAATATCCTTTGTCTAAATCATTATTAGCCCACTTATGGCAAAAAGCCTGATATATACAGATTAAAATTTGCAGATACTGATTTGTTTGTTTTTATTATGTAAAAGTCACAATGAATTTACGTTTTCATGTCTCTCTCTTTTTTTTTTAATATCCAGCGTAATACAGAAAGAAGAGTATGAGAAGAGATAACCAGAGCAGTGTGTCTGAATTCATCCTCTTGGGGCTCCCTATCAGGAAGGAAGAGAAAGGCATGTATTATGCTCTATTCCTGGTCCTGTACCTGACCACGGTGCTGGGGAACCTGCTCATCATCCTGCTCATCAGGCTGGACTCCCGCCTCCACACCCCCATGTACTTCTTCCTCAGCCACTTGGCCCTTGCTGACATCTCTTTCTCATCAGTCACAGCTCCAAAGATGCTCATGAATATGCTGACACAGAGTCAATCCATCTCTTATGCTGGGTGCATTTCACAGGAATTCTTTTTCTTCTTGTTTGGTGGTGTTGACAGCTTCCTTCTCACTTCAATGGCCTATGACAGGTATGTGGCCATCTGTCATCCCCTCCAGTACAACATCATCATGAGTCATATCCTCTGTGTCCTGTTAGTAATTTTATCCTGGGTCCTATCTGCTGCTGGTTCCCTTGTGCACACTCTCCTCTTAGCCCATCTCTCTTTCTCTAGAGACAACACTCTCCATCACTTTTTCTGTGAGCTTCCTTCCTTACTTAAATTGTCCAGTTCAGACACCACCAACAATGACCTGGTTATTCTCATTGTAGGATCAATGGTTGTTACTCTGCCATTCATGTGTATTCTGGTGTCTTATGGCCGCATTGGGGCCACCATCCTGAGAGCTCCCTCTATTAAGGGAATCTACAAAGCTTTGTCCACATGTGGTTCTCATCTCTCTGTGGTTTCTCTCTACTATGGAGCAATTATTGGGATCTTCTTTTTCCCCTCCTCCAATAACACCAATGACAAGAATATCGTTGTCACTGTGTTGTACAATGTGGTCACACCCATGCTGAATCCCTTTATCTACAGTCTGCGAAATCGGGACATGAAAGGAGCTCTCAGAAATCTGCTCAGTAGAGGAAGTTTGTCGGTATGATAGACATTGTATTTCCTATTGTCTTGATATGAGAAATTCCCAAAGACACATTACATTGTTTCTTTGAATCTTTCTTTTTCTTTCTTTCTTTCTTTTTTTTTTTTTTGTTTTTGTTTTTGAGACAGGGTCTCACTAGGCAGTTGAGACTGACCTGGAACTCACTATGTAGCCCAGGCTGGTTTCAAACTCACGGTGAAGTCTCTGCTTCAGCCTCCTGAGTGCTGTGATTACAGGCATGTGCCACCACACCCTGCTGAATTTTTATTTCTTGGTGACTATTGATAGAACACTCATTTTTTATACCTGTTTCATGTTAGACATGTTTTTTCTATTTGTGTTGTTGATTTTTAGAGTATTGGAAAAGCTTCTTACAAGCATATAATATTATCTTTTCTTATAATTCTTTGTTTTCACATATTTTCCTTCTTCTAGAAAAGTTTTAAATTTTTATGTAGTCACAGCTTTTAGTCTTTTTTAATGGGATGATATGCAGTATTTTGTAGCAAATCTTTTTTGCCTGGATCAACATAACACAATTTTTGTTCTGCTAGGCTTATGATTTTACTTTAAAATATTTTCTAAATTTATTTTTCTTAGTATCATTAGTAAGATATATAATTTGATTTTTGTTTGTAAGTTATTCATTTTAAATTACAAGTAAAATTGTAAGTATTCATAGCATATCATGTAATTTTAATAGTATACCATATAACATTAAATAAAGGGAATGGTATTTATTTCCTCAAACATTTATCATTTCTTTTAGCAAAACCATGCAAAGGCTTTTATTCTTCAAATATAAAATGTTATTATCTGTAGTCACCCTACTGTGCAATATTACACCGGGATTTATTTCTGACATTTAACTACTTCATACCAGTTTTCCACCCTTTCCCATTTGTCTCTTTCTCATTGATCCCAGCTGTTTGCATTTTCTTTTTTCTTTTTCAGCTTTAATTGAGTTTATTGGTACATTTTAGGGATGCACTACGGTTACATTCATTGTTGGGATCTTGTACCTCTACATGACAAGTCTTGATTCTCATTTCTTCCCCTTACCCCTGCCCTCCCTTCACCCCCTTGCATTTTATTAATTATTGTCCTATTTTATTTTTAGTTGTATTCTTAGAGTGATGGAATTTAGTATGTAACTATTTTTTTCTGTCTCAAAGAGAGTAACTGAGATGAGGTGGATTCATCCAGATACAGCAAATATATATCCCACTTGGTTACTAGAAACTTTATTGAAGCTCTCTACATCCTAGTAAGGTCACCTGGGTACCACATATACAGAGGGCAGATATTTCATGGACTTTCACATGGTGACATGACAGTGGATAATGGGTGGGCTCTGCTGAAGAGACTCAGCTTCCCTGGGTGTGGGCTAATGAATGACCAAGCAGGGTGGCAGGAGGTTAGACAAAGCAGCATAGTGTTAGGCAATGGAACTGAGTTTGAACAAGATTTTAGTGTATGAAGTATACTTAATTTTAAAATGAAAAAAATTACTTCTCTCCCAAATGACATAAATGCAGTATCATAAGCTTCCTTGTGAAATGGTAAAGTAACATCTTTGGTCCTTGGGAAACTGCCTCTGCTTAGAGCAAAGCTACTTAACTACATTGCCATAAGCTGATTACAGTGAGATATTTGCACATTATTTCCTTTGTCTCTAGTACTTGTTAAAGGTGGAAATTCTAATTTAAGAATTCAGTAAATAGTTGTATGCTATTAAGCTGACAGTATTTAATGGAAGCAGAACTCAAGCTTTTGTGTACTTGAGGTCAAATCTTGAGACTTATGCTCCAAGGATCTCATTGTTTTTCAAATGTCAGCAATATTTTTAGCCATTTTAGTGGAAATTTTATTTTAATCATTATAAGACTTGAAATAACACACGCAAAATGAAATATTCCACATATACAAAGATATATGTATATATGATGTATTATGCTTATGTGTATGCCCATAGAAGTGAGATGTAATCCCATATTAAATAAAAAACATTTAAAAAATACTTTGTAGTCTATAGGTTAAATGATAAAAAAAAAACAATGTAGTTGAAACCCCTTCAGTTCCTCCTCAATTTTATCTTTTCCCCCTGAGGGGGCACCATGTCCTTACTGTTTATAATATTTGCTTTCCATTGAATGTTAATTCTTTTGCAGCAATCTTCAATTTGCTTACCTTACACTTACATATAAATGAAGTAAAATTATGTTTAGTCTGGTGCAGTTTTTGTAATCTACTATTGTCCTTGTGAAATTTATATATATATAGTTTTGAATTCTGGTGCGAGAATCTAGCAAACTTACCCTATTGTAATGTATATTTTAATGTTTTTCTTTTCTCTTTTTCTGTTTGGCTTTCATAATTTTTCTACTAAGAAAACTGCTGATACGATTTGGAGAAATTTTCTGCTAAGAACAGTGCTGATACAATGATTCAAAGAGGCAGAGAGAGAGAGAGAGAGAGAGAGGAGAATATGTATATATACTCTCCAATGTGTACATCAAAACTTTTGTAAATCGTACCTCCAAATTGGGCTCCATTGAAAGGCATGTGTATATAGAATTTAACTCTCACTGCCAAACTCTTCTACAAAGTGGTTGTACTAAGAAGCTATACAAATATATTTCCAACCATATTCCCATCATAGAAAAATAAAACAAAAGATGATTAAAAATACCAGTGGTTACTAAGGATTTGGAAAGAGAAGTATGAAGAGTGTAAAGAGGATTTATTGAGCAGAAAAATTATTGTCTGATGCTGTAATTTGGATAGGTAAATTTGTGAAAACCAAACAAAGAACCAACCAAATAAATGGCATTTTATTCAGTCAAAGGAACATTTGTAACTTTGGAATATGGAGGCTAATTTAATCATTTGAATGAAATGCATTCACTAGACTTAGTACTATATAATAAGAAACTGAGACAGAGGTCATTGCAAGCTGCAACAATGGAAGAACAGTATAAGATTTGATAAGAACTCAATGGGATCAAGTTATTATAGCATTCCAAGATTCCCATCTGCTGATAGAATTTTAGCATTGTGTAACAAATCAAGTGCTTCACACTATGTTTTAACCAAATATATTAGAATTTTAGAAAGTAAAGCTCTGCCTTGTCTTATTTACCAATGATAATATGACATATTTCTATGTAAAATTTTAAAACCTTGCCTTTAGTCCTTGATATTTTGGTATATATTGAGTTGTAATTTTAACATTTTCAGGTATAAATTCGTTGAAGATTTTCTCATGTTGATAATAAAGTGTTTAAAGTTAATTTTTAATAAATTATGTCTCCACTTATTTCTGCTGATAATTACATCACATATTTTTGTAGATGTGTAAATTGCTTCATCACTTTTTGTTTGTTTGTTTGAGATCTGGATTGAACTTGGGACCTTGCTCTTATGAGACAGGTGGTTACCACTAAGCTAAATCCACAACCCTGTAAATTGCTTCATATACAGGCATACATATCTAGGACCACAAACCTATCTTTTAAATGCTATTATTAAAATATGCATCATTACCCTATTTGCTTAAAAATGATGTTAAATTGGAATTTAAGTCTAATAAGAAGGATGAAAACTGGAGCTGAACAATGTAAACTCCACGAGTCAGCATTTCCAGTCCTGGGCACATAACTATCAAAACTGAGTGCTAGTACTTATGAGAAAGCTCTTAGAATCTTCACTGTTTATAAATGAAATTGCACAAATATTTACACAGGTATATAAAAGAAATATATCATTGATTAGTGAAAGTAACTCAAATTGGATTTATTCATTACCAGATCATGATCTGGTATACTTTTTCTTTTTTTAAAAATTGAGTTTATTGGTATATTTTAGGTATACAGTACAGTTATATTCATTATTGGGATCTTGTACCTTACATGACAGGTCTTGGTTCTCAATTTTTCCCCTTATCCTTGCCCTCCCTTCACCCCTTCCTCCCCTCCCCATTTACAAACACTTTATTTCCATCTTTTCATTTTCTCACATTTTTTTCTTTTCCCTTATTACCCTTCCTCTATCCATCCCACCTTCCCTACACCTTTAGCCCTTTTCTTCCCATTTCACATGTCAGGTATCTTATTAGGATCTTATGTACTATTACAGTTTATTCACACCAGAGAAACTATTCAGTATTTACACATGTGTGACTTGTTTATTTCACTTAGGAGTACATCCTCAATATGTATCCATTTTCCTATGAATGACTCTAATTTCTCATTCTTTATGGCTGAGTAGTATTCCATTTTACAGAAAAACCACATCTTCTTTATCCAGTCTCCAACCGATGGGCAAATGGGCTGTTTCGAAGTCATAGCTATTAGAAACTGTGCTGCTATAAACATAGGTGTGCATATATCTCTGTGATATGATTCTTTTAATTTTTTTGGAAAGATACCTAGCAGAGGGATGGCTGGGTCAAGTGGTACCTCTAGTCCCAGCTCTTTGAGGTATCTCCATATTGATTTCCATAGTGGTTGCACCAGTCTGCACTCCCACCAACAATGGAGAAGGGTTCCTTTCTCCCCACAACCCAGCCAACATTTGTTATTGCTTGATCTCTTGATAGCAGCCATTCTTTGTGGGGTGATGTGGAATCTCAGTGTTGTTTTCATCTGCATCTCTCGAATGACTAGTGATGTGGAACATTTTTTCATATATTTACTTGCTGCTTTTACTTCTTTTTCTGAGAAATGTCTGTTCATTTCAGATGCCCATTTTTGAATTGGGTCTTTATATTATTTTTATTGGGGGCTGATTGTTTTGAGTTCTTTATGTATTCTAGATAATAGTCTTTTGTCTGAGGAGGGGCTGGTAAATTATTTTTTATGAACAAATCCTCAGTAGCATGGGAACTAGCAGAAAGAATCAATAACTGGGATCTCATCTTATTAAAAAGCTTCTGCACTGCAAAAGAAACCATCAACAGAACTAAGAGACAACCTACAATGTGGGAAAAATTTTTATTTTTTTCTTTTTTACAACAATATTTTTCTAAGTGACCATGTAATTTAATTAATTACAAGCTTTCTTATTGAAAAATGAAACAGAAAAAAACCATAGCATCTATCAACTCTGCAATGTTTAACTAGATTGTCATATGTTCATACTATAAAATAATATAGAATAAATAGTAAGAAAAGGATGAACTACTGATACTAGAGGATAGATCATATGTTTAATATTATTTAATAAAGACTATAATATATAATAGATTATATGTTATATGATTTTAACTAGATGAGTTTAGAATGTGTACAAGTCAGAGATTGTACACATCAGAATTGCATTAATCTTTGATAGGGTACTGACTGGGAAAAAAAGAAGAAAGCTTTCTGAGGAGTTGAAAATAGTCCATATCTCAAACTTACTGCTGTAATCATTTCATTCATGTATCAAATTAAGAAATACAAAAAGATAGACATTTAAAATTTATGTGCTACATAATGTACATTTAAAATTACAAAATTTAATAATAACATCTATGTAGTGCATTTGCCAAAATAAATCACAATATAAACTAAAAATTTTTTGAAAATAAATTATAAGGTATTGAAGAGGAGGGAAAATTTTATCTCTAAGACATTATCAATTTTTGACTTGCTTAACATAATGCTACAGACCAAATGGACCCACCAGATATTTGCAGAATGTTTCTGACAAAATGAGATAAAACTAGAAATCAGCAGCAATAGGATCTTTAGAAATGTTATAGTCACATGGAAACTACACACCATTCACTTGAATGACCAATACATCAATGAAGAAATGGAATTGGAATTTCAAAATTCCTTAAAACATGAAAATGTTCATGTGAAAACATATGAGATACAGGAAAAGTAGTATTGAGAAGTTCATACTTAGTAAGGGCTTATATTAAAAAAATAGGGATTTCAAAATAAACAACCTAGTGAAATAACTTCAGAAACTAGAAACAAATGAACATACCAAATACAAAATTAGTAGAAAAAAAAGAATATCAATGAGTACAGCTATAAAAACCAGACTAAACATAACACAGATCAACAAATGAAGAGCTCTGCTTTCTGAAGAGTAAACAAAATCGACAAAACTTTAGGTAACCTAAACAAGGAGTAAAACAGAAGTCCAAACTAAGTAAGATAAGAAACAAAAAGGGAGACATACAACTGATAACACAGAAAGACAAAGTATCATTACTGACTATTATAAACAAGTGCTGGCCAACAAATTGGAAAGCTAGAAGGAAAGGATAAGT